ACTCAGCCATTTAGGGTTTGGTTGGGGGGGAGGGATCATTCTACTTACATCATTACTTGACTCAGCCATTTAGGGTTTGGTTGGGGGGGAGGGATCATTCTACTTACATCATTACTTGACTCAGCCATTTAGGGTTTGGTTGGGGGGGAGGGATCATTTAACTTAGATCATTACTTGACTCAGCCATTTAGGGTTTGGTTGAGGGGGAGGGATCATTCTACTTACATCATCACTTGACTCAGCCATTTAGGGTTTGGTTGGGGGGGAGGGATCATTGAACTTAGATCATTACTTGACTCAGCCATTTAGGGTTTGGTTGGGGGGAGGGATCATTCTACTTAGATCATTACTTGGCTCAGCCATTTAGGGTTTGGTTGGGGGGAGGGATCATTCTACTTAGATCATTACTTGACTCAGCCATTTAGGGTTTGGTTGGGGGGAGGGATGATTCAATTTAGATCATTACTTGACTCAGCCATTTAGGGTTTGGTTGGGGGGGAGGGATCATTCTACTTATGTCATTACTTCACTCAGCCATTTAGGGTTTGTTTGGGGGGGAGGGGTCATTCTACTTATGTCATTACTTCATTCAGCCATTTAGGGTTTTGTTGGGGGGGAGGGGTCATTCTATTTATGTCATTACTTCACTCAGCCATTTAGGGTTTGTTTGGGGGGGAGGGGGGGCATTGGTTTTGAAAAGATGAAGGTCTCTGACTTTTTGAGGTTCATCATAATACTTTGTTGAGATAGGCTCATCTGTATATCTATCTTTCTATTGCAATTCAGCCATGGGCACAATAACACCCATGGGGGTCTGCATTGAAGTTGCCAAGCACTGAGCGGATCGCTCCCCCCACTGGACAAAGCTGCGCATTCAAATACCAGGCGTTCAATTATATAAACTTAACTGTTTTTAGTATCATCACACAAACATATATATATATATATGCCAAAATTCATACAAATTCTTACAGCTCGAAAGATGCGCATACAAAGACACGCTCTGATCAAAGGGCTTCACAAGAAGCATGCTGTCTTGCTTTCGCACCACGCAGGAGCTTTTTTGACTTTCGACCCGTCACACGTGTCATTGTCATTGCACCAATTCCGAATTTACACTGCCGGCCACACAGCAAAAAAAAACAAGGAAGGCCCGAGAGCGTAGCGGAAAATAGTGAGAGGTATCAGTATGAAGATCTGATAGCAAGAAAAGTTCTTATAGAAATATACGATGATACGTAAAATCATGAGAAATGGTGCATACATCTTGTGAACACGTGAAGATGTGAAGATGTGAAGATGACAAGATGTGAAGATGTGAAGATGTGACGATGTGAAGATGTCTAGCAGAGCAAACCTCCGACGCTCTCGGAACAGAACAAACCAAGAACGGAGCGAAGGAGGGGACGGAGGATGTGAAATATAAGTGCGTACATAAAAGTAGAAACTCCTCCGACACAGCATGTCAGTGAGCGCGTGCTAGTACATGTTTGTATTGCGGTTCATGTTGAAATTGAGGTTGTTGAAGTTGATGCTGTTGTCGTCGTTGTTGTTGTTGTTGTCGACTTGTGTAGGCTTTTGTCGGTTTCTATCGGCTTTTGTCGGCCCTTGTCGTCGTGGTCCTCGTCGTCGTCGTCGTCGTCGTCAACGTCGTCGTCGTCGTCATCGTTATTGCTTTTCTTGTTCTTGTTCTTGTGAATTCTTCTTTTTGTTATTGCTGTTGCTCTTGCTGCTGCTGCTGCTGCTGCTTCTGCTGTTGCTGCTGCTGCCGCCGCTGCTACTGCTGCTGCTGCTGTTGCTGCTGCTGCTGCTGTTGCTGTTGCTGTTGTTGTTGTTGTTGCTGCTGTTGTTGCTGTTGTTGCTGTTGTTGTTATTGTTGTTGTTGTTGTCGTTGTTGTTGTCGTTGTTGTTGTTGTTGTTACTGATGTTCATTTTGGCGTTGATGTTGATGTGAATGTTGATGATCTTGTTGTGGTTGTTAGTGTTTTTGTGTTGTCGATGTTGAGAATGCGGTTGATTTTGTTCTTGTTGTTGATGTTGTGCATGTTGTCGATGTAAGTAAAGAGGCGTCGGGAGCGAGTCGGTTTTCGGCGCTGAAAGCGAGTTGATTTTCGGCGTCGGGAGCGAGTGTCCGACCCTTCCAAAGGAGCTTCCGTTCACAAGGCTTTGCCATGTAGACAATGAAACATAGCCGGCTGGCTAGCCCTATTCCAGTAAATCATACCATTTTCCTACCATTTTCCCATCATGTTCCCACACTTTCCTTATGAATTCATAGCCCATCCGCGCTCCTGTCGATGTCTAGCCACATTTTGCCATGGCGAAGGGGTGGTGACCTCTCACAGCATACCCTCCATTTCTATGGCTTTATGGCTGGTACAATAGCTCACAATAGCTCACATATATACATATATATATATATTATATGTAATAATATCATATAATATATTATAAAATAGGATCCTGGAATTCCTATGGATCTTTGTTGGGGATGTAGTATAACTAAAGGATGTGACTCTATCTCTAAAACACGTATTTTTGATAATAGGCTGTAAGTTATTGTCCCTAGATTCAATCAACATGGCGACTTAACCAATCAACATTGGCAGCCAGATATTGAGAGAAGAAAGATTGGGATTTTGGCAACAGCCGCAAGAATTTTACGGTTGGTGTTTCTGGGGATCCAACCACCAAGAATGATGATCTAATTTGATGCAACCCGACTTGATCTCTACATAAATTATCATACATAGGATCATAGGGATGTAGATGGACATAGGGATGTAGATGGATGTCTGCAAATGTTGGTGGATGGGAATTTGACTCACTTGGGAACGCAGTTTGTGGTAAACCGCTACAAGTTGCTACATAACCTCCTGCTTGACAAAGTTGGAACTTGACTCCATTTGGCGCCATACTTTGTCAGCCTTTGTGGGACAATTTTCCAGTGTTACGTTGAAATTAATGGAGGGATTCCTGGATTGTGGAAATTCAAGCATCAACGTCTGATATTTGGTGTTTGCCCCAGATGTCCAATTTCCTGTTTCTGACACTACACGCATAAACACGCATATTTCAAGCAACATTTCAAGCAACTACTCAGTACTCAAAGGTTCCGATGCTGCAAACAGTTTTTGCACCAACAGCCTTCACTTGAAATGATGGGACAGGTGATGACACCCCATGTTTTCGAGTTCAACGGAGGCGAACTCATCTTCCAATAGAACTCATCTACAGATATCTACAGAGTAACTACGGTAACAAAGGGACCCTCAAAGGGAGCAAAGTTCAAATAAAATTACCAAGTCAGGTCTTCCTCAGATTGCTCTGCCATTCGCTCAGCTACTTCTGCTCGGTTCTCCCATCTCCCACCTGCTCGACCCATGCACCATCGCGAGTACTGGGCGAGCAATCGGTGATTTGGTATGGGTTTCCAGCGATAA